AATAAAACACAAGAATACCAAACAACAAAACAGAAGGAGATGTTTTTACATGAAAACAACCATAAAACATTACAGGCTAATCTTAGCTCAGCTAACCCTAAAGCAGATAAAAACAAATCAGTGTTGTGTATACCACATGGTGACACGTGGTGGTGCAGGATAGATTAAATTTTATTTATGCTGGACGGCAGAGCAAATGCTGAGTCAATCTACAAAGATCCCACCCACGGCAGGGAGACATCTAAAAAACACCAGTCTAGAGTGGAGAGAGACCCATAAAATTAGACACAGGATGAGCTTCAGTACGTCATGAGTTATCTGGTCTTCATGGTCATGATTCTTGACTTGATTAGTGAACTTAACTAATTGGTCAGAGCTCTGAAATGTAGTCCAAGTTTCCTAAATAAAGGTTTACAGCAACCTTAAAGTCCTGTGGTACAGAACCATTCAGTTCTGTCAGATTAAACTGATCCAAAATCTGAATATTAATTAACTGTTTTACATGTTTATGCTTCAGTGCTCAATTTAGTTTGTTCTGTCTGAGCTTTTATTCTGCTTGTTTTAACTTTAAAAAATTAGTCTCATCAAGGTCTTTCAGCTCTCTGCATTCACTGCATTTTTACAGAAAAAGCAGAAATTTATATTTTTATATTACAATTTAAATAATTTTGTCAGAGTTTTCACCAAAAAATGCAGTAAATATAATCTATATAATCTATATAAACTGCAATAGAATAGATTTTAAATGTTACAAATTATTTAAGTGTTCTCACAACATTGTAAAACAATATCCTTAACCATTTCACATTATGAGTAGTATAGAACCTGGAAAGCATCAAATGGTATAGAATTTTTTTTACTTCATATTTTTGCATCATTAAAAAAGTATTTTATTCAGTATAAAGGTAAAGAAAATTTTTTGAAATGACAAGACTGATCTGAAAAGAACAGAAATGTTTAAATTTACAGTGGTGGACAAAGTACTCAACTCTAGTACTTGAGTAAAAGTATTGATACTCATGGTCAAATCTACTCCACTACAAGTAAAAGTTACTCAGTCAAAAATCTACTCAAGTAAAAGTACTGAAGTACTTACTTTTGAAAATACTTGCAAGTACATGCATTTAACAGTACTCAAAATATTCAAAATTGCAAATTAAATTGCCTAACATCAGTACGTTGCTGTATTGTGTTCAGAGTGATTTTACAGAACCTTGTCACTCTCAGAACCACCTGATGTTCTGATACGTAGAACCACTGTGGTACAAATTCACCTCCTGTAAAGATTTCAGCATAAAAATACAATAAAGTGAGTGGTGAGTTCTTAAATGCACAAATGAAGTTTATCTGTAGTGAACCCAGAAGATGTTTAAACTGATAGGAACTATTTTTCAGAGCTAAAATCCCAAACATGGAGCTGAGATCTGGTCATGGCTGGTTTCTCTACTCTCTTCAATCGGCTCCATTGCTGGGTTCTGTTTGTAAAGAAGGTGGAGCTCAGCTCATGACTGTTAATGACGATGATGTAATTCCAAATCCATCCCAGATGTGAGCTAAAACTGTGATCAGTTTCCCTTGTGAGTAGGTGTAGGAACCAAGAACCGTTTCTCTGCAAGAACAGGTTCTTTGTTCAATTCTTTGGAGTTGTTAGTTTCTTACCTAACAATTCTATTTATAAATCCCACTTACTAATGAGAAWGTATGTGCATGATGACAACACGCTCCATGTTTGATATCAAAGGAAGAAATGGTCAAGTGCTTGGTTAAATTAAACCAGAAAAGACAAACTAGGACCAGCTACAACACATGCAAAGCTTCAGTCACAACAAAGGTTGGAAATACTTCCAACATGCAAAGACATTTTGTTTATTCTTATTTTTTATTTAAACTAGTTGTTATTTTTCTGATTAAGACTGGTTAAACACCTCATGCACACAAACAATGTTCTGTTTCTTTCCCTAACCAATGAAAATTGATAACAGAATTGAATCATTAACCAACATCGACAATAGAATCAAAATTGCTAAATTCTTATCATTTCCCATCCCACATTGTGAGGAATATAACATGTGGCCAATTTCAAGAAATAAAAACAGCAACAACTGATTACAAAACGATGCTGAACCAAAAGTAACAAGAAACTAACAAGCTTCATAAATATGTAGTGGAGGAAAAAGTACAATATTTGAGGAGTGAAAGTCATACGTACCCCAAAAAATAATTACTCAAGTAAAGTAAAAATACTCAAAAAATGTACTTAATAACCCTTTAAAGCCTAACCCTTTAAAAAAT